AAATCCCACATTTTCTAATATAATGAAGAAAAAAAAAAAGAGTGCCTGAAAGCAAAGCTCTAAAGATCATTGCTTGGGAGATATGAAGCAACTTTTCTGTACAATGCGTTAGTGAGCCTAAATTCTGTTCCAACAAATTAAACATCCCATCACCTCAGTGAATGTCTTTACTATGTTAGTAGTAAGATTTCTTGTCTACACACTTAACAAAAAGGGCAACAATTGAATAAACAAGGAAAACAATTATTCACACACTGGTGAAAGTCATTTCTCTGAAGCAACACATTCTGAAAGCAAAAAAAAAAAAGAAAGAAAGAAAGAAAAACCGGGGGATAACTAGAAAAAAAAAAACAAAACATTGCTGCTACTCATGTTAAGAATATTCTAGAAAAATTGAAAATCATTTCACTGAAAATAAACCCATTAACAAAATATACAGAGGAGAAATATAAGTACAGTTTAAATATTTAATGGAATCTTTAAGGTGAACATTCATGTGACACTGGAAAGAATCAACAGGAAGAGGAAGTTCTGTTTCTGGAGTAGCTGTTATGGTATGATAATGGAATTTGGCCCTTTTAAAATCAACAAGTGAGAATCACAATTGGGTGAAACACTCTTATTAGGAAATTAAAGTACTTTCTGCAGGAGCACCGCTGCTACACTTTTCATCAAAGAGCTTTGACTTTCTTGTTGACTTATTTGATCTATTTTTTAATGATGTAATAGCTTGAAGATTGACTTAAAAGTAATGCCAGCTGACAGAAATTTGGGAGCACCACACAGCATCATATTTTATTAAAGAGTAAGGGCACTCCATCATAACCATATACTGTCTATAAACACCACCATACAACACTGATAAGCAAATAAAGTCCACAGGCACATTTGCACCGTGCTTAGGCTTACAACTCTAAGACACAAGTGTTTCTGGAAGATGAAATATTAAAATATAATAAATAAAAGCAAGCCTCAGGATTTTCCCTAATTTCTTTCGGCTTCTGGATACTGCCTCCAACATAAGCCTGTGATGTACTGGTGTCGTCAATATTTGGGAAAATTCGGCAATTAATAATGAAACATTGGGGCTGGGGAGATAGCTCAGTAGAATAAGCACTTGCCTGGCAAGTGCAAGGTCCTGAGTTCAATACCCAGTACCAAAAATAATAATAATAATAATAATAATAATAATAATAATACACCATACGGGCAAATACTTAAAAGAGCTCGAATTCACAAATCACCATGCAGTGGGCCGAAAATTAAGCTCACAGATCGAAACTCCTAAAATCTAATACTATCTAAAGAACTACTAAGGTCAGAAGTAAATCTGAAGGTGCACCAATTCCCACCGACCTCAGGCAAAGTAACTTTGCTCTGGTTCCACGAAGAACACAGAATCCCAATGCACACGACCGCCAGCCAAGAATTATGGTTTTCTCTACCTCTTCTCTAAGAATCTGGAGGTTTCTCTCCAGAAAAACTCTATTTCCAAATTCAACCAACAGGGGAGCTTGGCAACAGCCCTAGTCTAATTGCAGAGCTCCGAAAACAACCACTTTCCTTTGCCTGTCAATTCCACTGGCCAAAGGCAAACTGCAATCACCCGGCCAATCCTCAGACGCTAAGCGAGGAAGAACTTCATACCCACCTGTCGGTGATAGTAGACTGTGTGCCACTCATTGGGGCCCTTGGCAAGAGGTCCTCCTTTTATCCAACTTGCATTTTACAAAAACACCTCCACCCCACCCCCAGTGCTCTGGGATCAGGCCCAATTCCGGCAGGGACACAAAAGTCCAACTCAAAACTCCATTCAGTCATCTAGAACATCCGATTGAAGAGGTCTGGGAAAGGGGATGAGGGCTGGAGCAAAACAAGTTATCTCCCAACACACACCCAGAAAGTCCGCCAGAAGGCGAGTTCTAGAGCTAGCAATAAATCTTCCCGAAAGCTGAGGAAGCAAACTCCGTCACAGAGCAGTCCGCCAGCCGAGGGCAGGGGACCCGGGGGTCCCTCCGGGGCCGGACGCGACGCCCGCCACGCAGGGCCGGGCCAGACCTCGGGTCGCCGCGCTCTATCCGCGGCTGCCGGCTGCCCGCGGCCGCAGCCCCGGCTGCCTCTCCGGCCGTCCCATGTCCCAGGGCCGGGGCCCCTCTACACTGCCTCGCCGCCCCCACCAGGCTCCGGGCGCCGGCCGGCCGCGGGTGCCGGGGACGAAGTCTCGCAGCCCGAGGTGACAGGGACGCGTCTCAGCGCCGCGGGCTGCTCCCCATCCCGGAGAGGCCCAGACCGTCTCTTCCGCAGTCCGCACGGGCGGCGGCGGCGGCGGCGGCGGCGGCGGCTCCTCCCCGACGCTCCGGTAGGCGGCGGTTCCCCGGAGGAGCGGGACGTCCCTGTCCGGCCGGCCTGGAAGTCCCGGCCGGAGCGGCGGCGACAGCGGCGGCGGCGACTCCCGGCGCGGGCGGCTCG